ACACACACACACACACACACACCAACAGTACACACACAACTTACCCTAACCCAACTGCCTCTCTACCCAGAGGGCTCCACGAACAGGCAGCAGGATCCAGGAATGAGTGTCTTGCCCGCAATCCAGGTCTCCACCACGGGAAATGAAGGGTGGGAAACGTCCCTGACATCCTTGAATGACCACTTTAATTCGGGACAGGGCAGGCTAGAGATTGGCACTGGTTCCCACATCCCCATTCCTTCCTTCTCTGTTCAAACTGGCGCAACTGAGAAAAGTCAGACCCACGGGCAACCCTTCTCCCATTCCTCAGATAATAGAACCTAGCTCCTTAAGGAACACCGACCTCAGGCTGGAGCCCTGAACCCTGGGGACTGCCTCCCCTTCTCTGCAGAAAATAGCTCCCTCTTGCTCCCTGCTTGACAAGATGAGATCCCAGTGTATAGGAAAACCCAGCTCAGGAACTGAGAGCTCCTGGTGCCAGGCGTCCTCCAGGGCCAGACACATTCTCAGGCTCCCTCGGGTGGAACCTCCAGGTGCTGCACTGAGCTGGGAAAGGAGGGATATGGCGAGTGGTGTGTGTGTGTGTGTGTGTGTGTGTGTGTGTGTGTGTGTTTCTAGGTATCTACGAGAAGAGCCCTATTTGAGTTTGTTTTCTTTTACTAGGCAGCAAAGGAGCCTATGGGCTCTCATTTCTCCTCAGGCCTGGATTGAACACGTGAAACCCAGGCCAGCCTTCTCTCTCCTCAGGTTTTGTACCGCACCACCCACCCCTCATCAGTAAAGAGACAGCCGCCTCGGACAGATATGGTTTATTAATTCAGGCCGGAAGCACCGGGGTGCAGCAGACCAAGTTTGGCACTGGAAAGATCCACAGGAAGGACAAACAGTTGAATGAATATTTTGGGGCGCTGGGTCAGTGGTCGGTTTTCGCCCGCACACCTCTTCACCTCTGCCAGGAGGCCAATAGCTAGCTTCTCATGCCCCCCCCCCCCCGCTTTATTCCCTCAACGGATAAGAGATTGTGATGGGGAGGGGGTTAGATTGAGATGGGACACCGAGAAGGGACTCCAGCAAGGGAATTCAAGACTGGGGAGGGTACTAGAGTACTTGCTGGAGGAGGTGGGCCCCAAGACATAGTTGGCCAGTGCTCTTGCAGAATGACCACCTTGACCTAAACGGGGAGGGTAGGTGGCCTGGGGAAGCAGGTCTGCTAGCTGCGGGTGTAGTAGCTGTAGTCGTCCTCGCATCCATCAAAAGGGCCAGGCGGGCTGCAAGGTTCACCGCCGTCGGTGCCCTGCACCGAACGCTCACGCAGGCGCACCGCATCGTACAGACCCTGCGGGGGTTCATCAAGCAGCACATCGCGTTCGGAACGCGAGCGTGTAAGGAGACCCACGTTACGCAAGAGCAGTAGGACCGGTGCGTAGAGCAGGTTGGCCAGGCCCATGCCAAGGCTGAGCTGCTCAAAACCAAGGGAGTGGACGATATGGCCTGCCACTATGGGCCCTAGTGCGTAGGCCACAGAATAGGAGATGTCAGCTATAGCATAGACGCTGCCATAGACTGATACGTGGCGCACGTCCACCAGGAAGGCGAGCGTGGGTAGCAGCGCCGTGTCCACTAACGCGATGCCGAAGCAGAGGCCGCAGAGCGAGACCACTAGCGGCGCGAAAGAGCGGCAGGCAGGCACGACGCACGAACTCACTCCAATCACCGCCAGCCCGAGAGCGCCATACAGCCACTGCAGGTGTGGATAGCGCGCCGCTAGGCGCACGGTGAGATAGACGCCTAACACGTGCGGAACGAAAGCCGGCAGCCAAGCCATGCCCATCTCCCACTCGGATGCCGCCATTGTGTGCTTCATCCACGTGGCTATGGTGGGCTCGAGGAACGCAAGGGGAATGTTACAGGTCGTGAGCGCGCCGGCTACCACAGCGATGTAAGGGTCCAGCATGAGGCGATGGATAGGTGTGCCCACAGGCAGGTTGGCCCGCGCCCGAGCCGCAGCCGAGAAGGGCTTAGCAACCGCCAGCAGCAGGAGCGCGTCGAAGAGCGACACGGCAGCGAGCACTAGAAAGGGCACACGTTTGCCGGCGAACTCGTAGAGGATGCCCCCAAAGGGTGGCGCCACCAGACTTCCAAAGCTGATGAAGGCCAGTGCCACGCCCAGGGCACGACTGCGCTCAGGCTCCTCCGGATACTTGTCAGCGATCATGGCGATGCCAGACGTGTCCGCGAAGGCTGAGCCCAGGCCTTGTAGACTGCGCGCAGCGAAGAGAGTGGCATAGTCCTCTGCAAAGGCAAACATGACCGTAGAGGCGAACATGACGCCCAGGCCAATAAGCAGCGGCACGTCGTAGCTCATGCGATCAATGAAAGGCCCGCTCAAGGGGTTCACCAGAAGCTGCAGGATGGCCTTAGAGGCAAACAACACCCCTATCTTCACATCTTCACTTTCTGTGGGGTAGCGAGGCCTCAGGATTGACCGACCAGACCCGGCAACCGTCGGGGACGCCGAGGTGTTGGCCAAGTAGGCGCTGGCATTAGCCTGAGTGGGTGGCGGCAGGGTGGGTTCCCACACCTCAGAGACCAGCGTAGGGCTCTCGCTGCCCCCTCGCATGTGGGCGATATAGTCGGGAACAATGGGCACGATGACCATGTACAACATGTTGTCCAGTAACAGTGCAACGCACACGATGACCAGCACCAGGCGCCGCTGCCTCTGGGGCTCTTGTAGCGCGGCTCCCACCGCTTCCGACAGCTTGGTGGCCGCCGCCCGGGCCTGACTGGTTGGCGTGGTGGGTTCCATGCCCCCACCCGCTGCTCTTCCGAAGATGCCTCCGCCGGAGTCGGCTGCCGGCGTCCCGCAGTGTGGAGGCTAGGGGGACAGGACTTCGGGGGCGCGGTCCTAGCCGCGTGGCGCCCCCTGTGCTTCAGGTGGCTGTGGGGCTCATGTCCCCGAGCTCAGAGAAAAGCAAGAACTGTCCCGCACGGTGCCGCTGCTCTTAGCTGCTCCAGGGACCAGTTGCCTCTGTTGCAGGTGCAACTGCGGAGGCGAGCAAGCCGAGGCGCTGAGGCGGGAGACTGGACGCGCGGTGCCCAGAGAGCGTAGGAGCAGCCCCTGCTGCGCAGAGAGGCCGTGTGCGCCCGCCCAGGGGCATGCTGCCACCGCCCGCCGTCTTTCCAGCCCCGCCGCCGCGCTCCCCTCCCCGCGCGTCCGCTCTTGCCTCTTCCTCCGCCGCCTCTTTTTTTTTTTTTTTTCTCCCTCCACTTGGGGCTATGACGCGGTGAGTCTCGGCCTCCGAGTGATGCCCGGGCCACTGGCGTCGCTCATGCTAATGCGACGTCGTCGGGGCGGGGGCCGGGGGCGGGGCGCGTCCGGGCAGGGGTCCGCTTCCCAGATGCGCCCAGGCAGGAAGCCAAAGAAAGGGGTCTTGGGGAGCAAGAGTCCCAGACAAGCCTTTGGGGATGGGTGCGTCGTGGGAGGAACCAGCTTTCTGTTCCCCCCAATTCCGGGACCTATAGGAGTGAGGCCCTGTTCTTCCCCTACTTGGTAGGAGGGGTGCGGCAGCTGGTACCCCGCAGCCTGGTGGGAGACTGGACAGCCGGGGGCTCTAGACCTCCTCCTCAGCCTGGACCTTGGCGCACAGCGGGCATGGAGCCCCCGAGGTGAGCCGCGCTGCCTCCATCTGTTCTCACAGCTGGAACGCGCAGCCGGGACCCTGGGACACAGAGCGCACAACCCCCTTCCTCGACCCCGCCCCCAGCCCCTCTCATCGCCCTCCTCCGGGAAGGGAGGGAGAAGGTACAGAGACTTCAGGGTCTGATTCCAACCCACCTGCCCTTCGGCAGAATGTCTTGGCAGCGAATTCCGGACTGTGCGCGTGTGAGGACTGAGGGGAGGAGTCGTTTTCTGCATCCAGGGTCCTAGACGTCAGCGTTAACCCTTTTTGACCTCCCCCTGCATGGGTTCTCCCTTTCCGCTTTTCCGGTCGCGGGTCCCCTCCACCCTCGACCCCGCCTCTTTTCCCTTCCTTTCTCCTCTCCCTCTCCTCATTCTAACTCCTCCCAGGTCCTCTTCTCTCCAGACCAAGCCCTTGCTCGACTCTTGCGAGCCTCCGCCCACTTTTCTGCATACCCCCCACCTCCACCAAGCCCTGAGTGGGCTCACAAGTGGTGTGGCATTGCTAAGAAGCCCCGCGTGGAAGCCTCTGGGTCTCACGCGGCAGGGCCTCCGCAGCTTTGCTGTCAGTAGAGGCTCAGGAAGGCTCACCTTCCCTCCGGGAGGGCTGCACAGGCTGAGACTCCTGGTTTGCAGCCGACAAGCTGAGCAGATCAAGTTATGCTCTGGGCACGGTTTGCCCTCACACAAACTTTGACCCTAGACGGCCCGTGAGGCCCGTGTTCCAATCTGCAGACTGGCAGGAGAGAGGGTACCAGTCAGCTGAGATTTGGGGTTGGAGGGAGGGCAGGGACTAATGTTGAGACTGGACTTTCTCTGTCTTCTGTAGTCACAGGAGCCTTCAGATACTTCAAATCTTTAGATCCTAAGCTAGCATGGGGTTCAGCTTCCTCCTCTGTGCTTCCTACCAGGAAGGAGACATCCTAATATCTGGGCTTCAGAGGCAGACAGGATGGCTCCCAGCTCTGCCCCTTACTAGATAAAAGTGCCCAGGGAACTACTGTTTCCTCCTTCTGATCCAGTGCCCCTTTATTTATCTAAATGGAACAGGAGTACTTACCGCTTAAGGAGTGGTACACAAACAATAAGAAAGATCTGTGTTTGCCGTTACTGTCAGAGCATGTGATGCCTTGTGTTTCCGTCTTGGTGGAAGGTCTTGTGAAAAGCTGATAGATGCCAGGAGCATCCTGAGTTTCTGGCTTATCCCTCGGATCTGGTAGGCATTGTGAGCCTGGGCCCTGTCTGGGCTGGTGGAAGCTACAGAAAGAACTGGAAAGTTGGCTTCTATTCTTAAGCCATCTGCAAAATGAGGTGATGGAGACCAGAATATCAGGGTGAAAGGCAGAAATCCTGTTGTCTAGTACCCAACCTGTCAACCCACACATAGGTGCCCATGAGAGGAAGAGAAACTCATATATTTAGGCTGCTGCCATCACATGCTCGGTGATGGCCCAGCTGCCCTTTGTGTGAAGGAAGGACCCTGAATATGGGGACCACCATGGCTGTGGATGGCCTTGGGCAAGCCACAGCCTGGCCCACCTGGCCTCTGTTCATTAAGAGGTTACCAAAATACACATTGCAGAAAGTGTAGGAAAACTACTTTACATATTATCCCACCCCCTTGATTCACTGCACATTCTGCAGTTTCCCTCAGCTTGCTTCATGAACTTTTACAGCTGCCTGGCCCTCCAGACGTTTGAGTTTAAGAACTCTGAGCTCCCCTGACTTTTCTACCAAAGCCTCATGGTTTTTAACAAGATATTTCCCCAGCCTACATGGTAGCAATTGTTTATTCATATACTGTCACTCTAAATAAAATCAGAAGGTAGGATAAGACTGGAGGCAGAAGTTTCCTTTCTAATGGTTAATGGACAGTGGAATCTTCCAGAAAAGAAACTTCCCAGTGCTAGCCAGCAGCAGACTTTTCTCCCAGCTCTCCAGCCCACATAATAATCCATAGCTGTCCCTGAGAACAAAGCCAATTCATTTTGGGACTCACGCCGACTCTCTGCTCCTCCTTTCCTCTATGGTAGAATGCAGACTCACTGGTTCTGTGTCAGGACCATGTGTATGCTCTTCCTTCATCCCCCTCAATCCTGGTACAGTGGAGATGCTACAGCCCCCCCCCCTATAGAAAACCAGGCATGGAGAAAGACGCTTTCTCACTTGCCCGAGATTCCCGGCTGTTGAGACCTGCTTCATGGTCTTCATAGTGCCTGTCTGTTCCTTGTGTTTATTACGCCCGTGTCACTCCAACGTGCCACACCTAGGCTGGGGAAGGGCAAGTGGCAGATGAAGACCAGGCTGGCTCCTATGGGGTCTTTTTTTTTTTCTTAGATTCCAACAGTCTTTTCATCTGGACTGGGGTACAGGGGTTACAGGTAGGGGAGGATCCCTTCACCAAAAAGCCCTCCTTTCCAGGCATAGGAGGGGATAATAATTAAAAAAAAAAAAAAAAAAAAAAAAAAAGAGGCCGGCCGCTGGAACTGTCCATGGTGCTGGCCAGCTTGCTCACTGGCAGAGGCCTCCAAGGGCTGCATCCCTGCTGTGTTTCTGGGCCTGCGGCTTTTTTCCCTCACCCCAGTGCTTGGCAAACTCCTCCCCCCCCCCAGACTCCTATGTCTGAGTATAATTTATAAACAAGAGGAAATTTCCTATTCAATCGTGAGGGAAAAAAACAGAAGTGTGTCTTCCCCACTTCTTGAAATGAAGAAACTGTTACTATAGGATACATATGTTGACTGAGTGAAGGAAGGGGTTTATTTATTAGATCTGTAAAAAAGAGCTAGCAGTGTGCCAGGCAGTGTACTAAGCATGAACTAAGTCATTTAATCACATTGCTAACATTCGTATATTCGTATTGGCTTTCTGTAGTCAGGGACATTGCGGCGAAGCGATCCACCCCGTTACAGCTAGTGCTGCCCCACTGGAGCAGGCTAGACAGCACGAGGGACTCACTACATGGTCTCAGGGACTAATGCTTGATCCGAAGTGGGAGTTTCATTATTACTTTGAATGGCTTTCTTCAGATGGCTTGGTTGGCTTTGGATGACAACTTTTCTTCTCATTTCATTCAGTGGACCCAGCTGTGGTCTTAGTCTGATAGAACAAAATCTGCTCCATTCTGGATCAGTGCCAAGGGGAGTTCTGGTGTAGGGGGAGTGTGGAGAGGGTGGGAATAGTCCTGGTGTAGGGGGAGTGTGGAGGGGGTGGGAATCGAGTTATGCCGCACCAGTGCCTTCTTGAGGTCATGGGTCTGTGGGTGCTGCTGTGGAGGGATGGATCAGCCTGGCCTGGCTTTATTTCTGAGATGGGCGAAGAGGCCACATCAGTTCCAGAGCTTCATCATCGTTGCTTGCTGGAGGAATTCATTCCAGAGAGTGGAACTGCCCGAGTGTCTGCGGAGGAGCAGGTTGGTGTGGTGGATTGCAGTGTGTGGGCGGGGTGCCCACTCCTGATTTATTATTTCTTTGTCTGCGTGGAAGCACTTAAGTGCAGGCTTGGTTCCAATGACGTTCATGAGCCTCTGGATTCCAGCACTGGGGGTGGGGGTGGGGTAGAGTGTTCTTGGGCCTCACTAGCCCTTCCCCCGTGTGCTGCAGTCTTGGGAGGGCCTCAGGGTTTCAGCATTACTTAATTAATTTAGGCCTCCACAGCCACATATTCTCATTCAAAAGAACAGAGTGGCCCGTGTCAGCCTTTCCCGGAAACCCGTGAGCCTGGTGGCTGGAAGCCAGAGGACTATGTGTCTGCCTGACTGCCCTTGGCCAGCCCATCTCCAGGGCCGGGCATGGACAATACAGTATCCACAGTAAGGTAAAGGACAATGTCTCCTACATTGTGAGTAGACCCTGATCTGCTCTAACAGCTCCCGGAGAAAGAGATGGCTGGCTTGTGGCCCTTTGACTTGTAGATTTCTCACATGGATTTCCATAGGAATCCTGGCCTCAAATCGCTTTGATTTTAGCCCTCAGGTTTACTTTGCATTTCAATTCAATGAGTTCCTCAGATTCACTTCTTTTCAGAAAAATCTTGCCCCAGACCAGCAATCCTTATAAGTTGTGACCCCTTTGGAGGTCAAATGACCTTGTCACAGGGGTCAATTAAGACCATCAGAAAACACAGAT